AACAATATGGAATTGTTGTAAATCGTATTTATTGAAAACAAATAACATAATTTGGCTAAAAACGTTGTTTCGGAGTAAACACCATCTTCAGAGCCTTGTAAGTGATGGAGAAGTAGTCAGAAAAGGAGGCAGAGAGTTCCAGAGAAAAAGGTCAAAAAAAGCAGATTTAGCAAAGGTAGAAGTGAGAACAAGAAGACAATCGTTTACGTTCAATTAATATATCTGATAAGTACTTAGGAAATAATTTAGATATATACATGTGCAAATTTTAAAAATTGTTCTATATTTAATAAGTAGCCAGTGTAAGAGAATAAGATATGTAAATATATGGAAAAAAAAGGGACACGGGCAACTAGACGAGCAGCAAAGTTAAAAGCTTTACTTAAATGATAGAGTGTAGAATCAGGAAGACCATAGTAACCAATTCTAGATAAAACTAACGAAGTAACAAGAGGGAGAAGAGTAGGATCGTCAAGAAAAGGCAATTTCTTTTATTCTACGTAGATGAAAGTAAAAACTTCTAGTAACACTATTAATCTGAGAAAAAAATGACATAATAGAATTTTTGTTCTATCATGCTTAAAACAAATGAAAATTTAGGTTTTGAGCTCAAGAAGCTTGAAAATGATTTACATTCACCGTTAGAAAAATCGAAAAATTAAACAGACAATTAGACAAACTAATGACTTTTATGTAAAACCTTTAACAAAAAGTAAACTGCAAAAACATTTATTTAAAGCGTTAAATATGGTGGGGCTAACATGCGGATGCCATCTTCCGTGCTGTGAACAGAACCAGCAACTTTTCCTGGCTTTCATCGATCTGATAAAGGCTTTCAACACGGTCAACAGACTTGTTGTGGATGATCCTGAGTAGATTTCTGAAATTTTCGCCAAAATTTCTAAATGTACTGCGTGAATTTTATACAGGTATGAGCCTAAAGTCATTGTTGGCGGTAAGGAATCTAAACTATTTGATGTTTTTGTAAGAGTAAAACAGAGGTGTGTTCTGGCTCCTGAAATTTTTATTCTGTTTCTCACAGCCACTGCTCTCATTTATCGTGATGGTTTTCCGTCTGAAGCGTCTCGACGGCAGCCTCTTTAACATACAAACGACTCAAGGCGAAAAGCAAAGTATCACACGATAGGATTTTCGAATTCCAATACGTTGACGACGCTGCTTTTCCTACCAACACCATCTCCGCTCTCCAAAATAGTCTTAATGTCTTGACGTGTGCCTATAGTTGTGCATGACTTGTCAAACTGCAAAAACCGAGGTACAAATCAAAACAAACCAACTGGTTGTTGAAACCATTGGAATTGGATGAGAGTTGGAACCTCGATGCCCCCACTGTGGAAAACTATGCGCATCAAATTTTGAAATAAGAAGTCATCTACGATATCATAAAAGGCCGAACGTAACTTATTAGCGACGCAATCTCTTCGACGCTTCTGCAGACGACACAAATAGGTTCATTTAAATTTATTTAATTTTGATTATTCAACATTTTATTATAACTTAGCACTTTATTTTAGTTTTAATTCATTTACCATATTCAATAACTTTATTATTTTTATATTATTTCTGTTTTAACTTCATTATTTTTTGTACACACACAGCTCGGTTATATATAATTTAAG